GGGGGGGGGGGGGGGAGCCCCAGGCACAAGGCGTAGCCACTCCTCTGTTAGAACCACAATCAAACAAGGCTCAGGCAATCCTCGCAGCTGCTCTCCAAATGTCAGCGCCAGCCGTCAACACAGCTTGAAAGCCACCCAGCTGAAGGACTTTGTGCTGTACCTTCTCGCCCACATTTTCCCTGAGCACTCCCAGGAACCTGGCAACAGGTAACGTGGCAACCTTTGCTTTATAAAATGGCAAGTGGCATAATTTCAGAGAAAAATGGATGTTTTTCAAGTCAGCTGTGTCTCCCTCACCAACCCCATCCCCAACCCCCCTCCCTCCCAACCGAAAGTCTGGGAAAACAAAGTAGTACTTTGGGACTGGCAACCGTACTCTCTAGTGTCCCCTGGTGGCCAAGATTGGAACACCACTGATGTACCGTGAAAGCTGCTGCTCTGCTCCAAGGTAAGTCAGGCTGTAGAAAGGGGTGGACACTTTTGCAGGACTTGTCTTCCAAAAAAACATGCAGAGTGGAAGCTAAGACTCAGAAAGTCTTGATTTTTCATTTATTGCCTTAACAAAAATTTTACTCTAGCTGCAAGGTAAGATCTCTGGGTCGAGGTTGCAGAATTTTAAAAATTATATATATTGTATTAACTACAGAGCAGTGTCAGTGCCTTTGAAAATACACAACTCATTCTTATTATAGCTGCTTGCATTTATATTCCAAGATGAACCTTTTTTGTACATACTAAAGGTAAAATTTGGGGAATATATTTTATTTTAATTTGAGAGAGAGAGAGAGAAAGAGAGAGAGAGAGAGAAAGAGAAAGAAACATCAATGATGAATCATTGATAGGCTGCCTCCTCCATGCCCACACTGGGGATCAAGCCTGCAACCAGGCATGTGCCTTGACTGGGAATCAAACCATGACTTCCTGGTTCATAGGTCGACACTCAACCACTGAGCCATGCTGGCCAGGCCAGATTTATTATTATTATTTTTTTTAAGCAGTAGCCAGTGTAACATTTTTTTGTTAAGATGGAAAGTTGAAAAGCAAGAATGCTGGGTGAGACATGCATTTTCCATTTTAATCCAAATTTGTATGTTGACGGCAGAAAACCTTTCCGGCAGGAGCATTTGTAATTCACTTTGCTGGCTTCCCCATTTGTCTATTTGCAAGGATTACTTAGGATTTCCAGACTGAAGGCCCAGCCTCCCAGAGAGCAGGCCTTGCAGCCTCACCTTAGTGCTTTTATCTCTGTGTGGGGCCAACACCCACAGAAATGCCCAGGGCGATGCTTTCCACCAGTCTCCCTCCTCAGGCTCTCCTTCCTCTGCTTGGTCTTCGATTGGGAGGCTGGACCACAGTGGTGAGCTGCTGGTGCTTCCGGCCAGTGGCAAGGGCAGCCATTCTTCCTCCCTCTCTGGAAATGTTCACTGGAAACTAAGAAAGAGGCTCAGATCAAAGGAGCTGTTCTCTTCAAAAGTTCCATTAATTAACTAAATTAAAGGAAGTTAAATGCTGTTTGGAGGAAAGTCATTTTAGAAGGCCCAGGTCCAGGGGCTGAGGTCTCAAACTTGTAATGTGGACTTTTAATGAAGTTTGGCAACAAGTTAAATAGTATTAGAAATTGAGGGTTACCATATGTAAAGCCAGTGGTTGCCTGAAATCAATCATTTCAAAGGAGCATCTTGAAAGTAGACATTTGGCTAGAATTTAATACTAAAGATGAAAAACCCAGGGCTCTGAGTAAGAGTCATTTGCCCAGGAGCTAAGGTGAGTCACAGCCTCTGAGAACTAGGCACACATGTTGAGGTCAGGATGTCGAAAACATGGGGCTTACTAATGTGCAAGGCAGGGCTGTTGCTTCCAGTAGTCTCTTTCACGGCTCATTTTCCCGGCCTTTCCAACAGGTGCAATTGAGTCATCCGGGCACACAACTGACTGTGCTGGCAGTAGCATCTGTTGGGATTGAATTTCCATTTGTTCCATTACTTTATGAAGTGATTTCTACCACTGAATCAGATATGTCACTTCCTCTAGGATTTAGGGATTTTTTCCCCTTGTTTGTAACATGATGTGTCTTTCAAAGTTTGTCACAGCAAGGTCTGCAGGCCTTCCTGGGTTGAATGGACTGTTTACAGGAGGGGAAGATCCAGGGCCCAAGGTCAGGGTTACCGAATTATGTAAGGTTTCCTGTTTGTTCCAGCTCCTCAGGTGAGGGTAGACCAAGTTTTGTTGAGAGACAGCATGCCGAGGAGGCCGGGGTAAGGGGAGTGCCAGAGCAGGGAAGGACATTTTTCTTTTAAGCTTCTCATCAACAAGCTTTCATTCTTCTCAGATGTCAGTTCTCAGAAATACACTCCCGTATTCTCTTCTGTGAATTCCCACCCCCACACCCCACCAGACCGAGAGAAAGGAGCTAACTAGGGATGTCAGAATTACAAGGTCAGCATTGTTGTCTGTTTTATTCATAATACGACCACAGTCCTTAGAACGTGTGTGGCACATAGTCGTAGCGTGCGTGGAAAATACTTGTTACACGAAGGAATGAACGGGAATGTGAAGAGACTTCTTGGCAAAAAGAAAAAGGGACCAACAAGGGGGTCACCAGGGCTCAAGTCAAGTGAATACTCACCAAAGCTATTCTCAGTGTCTTGGATGTTGTGATATAATCTCCTGTCACCAATGCCCGCTTCGGTTTTGCCATTGGCCAAACGCGATTGTGGCTGGTCAGCCTTTGACATGGAGTTAGTATGGGAAAAATCAATCTATTATCAGCGGAAACCGCTTGTTCCTATGGGGCATCCACCTACTTTCCTCTGTCCTCTCTGGTTGGCTTTGTCTGTAGGCACTGAGCGGATGGCTGTCTGAGGGGTCCCTGATGCTAACTGCCCGCATCCCGTGCAGCTGCCCTTCTTCGCCTCAGTTCCTTTCACTCATTATTCTGTGGCTTCTTCTGTGCTCTCCTGCTTGCACAAGATGCATACTTGAGAGCCAGGGAACTTTCTTTGCCTCTGTTCTTCTTTCACGAGAATTTGTACTACCTGCACCATGGAACCTGGAGCCTGGAGTACAAGAAAAAACCTGGAATGGAATCGGACAACTAAACAGGACTCTCCTGCCATGTAGCTGTGTGTCTGGTAAACAAAATAGAACTCAAGAGTACCTGCCCCAAGGCTATATATGGGATAATGGTTGGTTCTAGATGGGAGCAAGGTATTGGGCATATGTTGCCAACCTGTTTCCCTGGAGAAGGTGAGACAGACAAGCAGACAGAGTGACCCGTGTACACACCAGGGTAGGTCGTATCTAATGAGAGTCCAGTTAGGCTGAGTCCAAACTAAAGCTTCAGGCTGGATTTATCAGTAACCTCTGCTCACTGGCAAGGTCTCTGGGCTTTGGAAAGGAGGCAGGCCTATTAAGCCCGCCCCCCTGCTGCTGCCCTGTGGACAGAGGGCCGGGAGGGAAGGCTGGACCTGGAATAGAAATTTTTGCACAAGGCAAACTCAAATCCCCAAACCTGGGAAAACAGGATGTGTGGGGAAGTAAAGAAGAAAGAAAATGCATCCACCATTCCTTCCTGTTGGTTTCAGCATGATGAGGAATAATTATCTGGGTCTGGAGAGCAGGACCTGTGGGAGGCCACAGGAGGCCCTGGGCTGGGCAGTTAGGCAGTTAATTATTCATCCTACTCCTTTCCTCTTTCCTCCCTGAAACCCATCCTTTAAAAGTTAAAACAGGAAAAACTCTTTGGGTTAGCCTGTGGAAAACTGTCTGCTCTGCTCTTTAGTGACTCTCAAGTAACAGAATCAGCACTTTAAAATGACACCTCGTTATCCAACTGTGTCACCGGCTGATGACACAGATCCAGAGAAGAACCTGTCCAGGTGCCCGTGGGGCTCTCTGTCCGCATCACGAGTTCAGCCCTTGCACGGTTATAGTTTGAGTGCAAAGGGCCGCTTAAAGGCGGCACTGAAAATTCCACTTTACAGTTGGGTTTTTATAATTTGCCAAAATTAAATAAAAATAACCCAGCACTGGTGTGGCCAGTACTAAAGTTTGGATCAATCCACTCTGCCCACCTCCCACCGTCATCCTCATTCCCTGAATGTAATAAACCAGGTGCATCCACAGTCCCAATTCCCCACCTGACAAGGAGGTTGGAGAGTTTGGTTGTCCATGTTCTCCAGGGTGGAGTCTGGCTGGAACTGGGTTCTTCCCATCTAAGCCTCTTAAGATCACCTTTGAACCCTTGTGAGAACAATGTCTGAGTCCCAAAGGCAGTATTGAATATCTTTTGGTCCGATGTGCTTGGAATTCAGAACTTTTGGGGCTGTAGAAAGCTAATAGACATTACACACCAAGGGGTTCTGGGGGAACACCCCTTAATCTCATATTCTAAGCCAGCAGTCGCCAACCGGTGGTCCATGGACCACTGGTGGTCCGTGAGGTCTGAATGGTTGGCGACCGCTGCTTTAAGGAAACCTTTGGAGCAGTGGTCGCCAACCAGTGTCTGCAGGAGGCAGTAGGACATTCACACTGCAAATAGTTCCAGGGTCAGATTTGGGGCAATGGCTTTCAGAATTGCCGGTGAAGGAATAACATCCACCTAGCCCTTCAGATGCCTTGGAGCAGTTCCCTTTGAAGGGCGTACGGGAGGAGGAGTCTGGCCGCTGGGATCTGGGATCCCTCCGCGCCCGCTGGCTCCGTGTATCCAGACCGGCGGCTGCGTGG